TCACCTTCAAATTAAAATATGTTTTTTGGGAAAAACCCTGGATTAAAAAAAATCAGTTTTTGATTTATTTTTATCTTTTTAAGTGATGAAAGTCTTCTCATTTATACAACATAAGTGTGTTTTGATTATGAATGTGCCACTTCTGCTGACCCTCTTGGCCCTGAAACTTAATTGATAAATGGATGCTATTATAAAACGTACCAACATTTAGAAGTAGTTGTTCACAGCTCATAAATGCAGCTGGTGAAAATGTCAGATCATGGGAAATAGACTGAAGAATAATATCGTACAATTTACATACATTTTACTCCTGTAAGTAAAATTAAAATAGTGTAATTTCCTTTGTGGTATGATCTGGTGAGTACACACAGTTCAAGAAATTAGACAAACATGTTTTCTGAACTGGTTTACCTAAAATTCAATTTTCATGTGTTTCAAAGGAACAGATTTGGGTGTATGTTGCTCTTACTTTGCTCCAGTGATGAAAATGGGTCATAAACTATTTCAACACCTCAATGGAGCTGTACAGAAGCAGTTGAAAACTTTTTTTGTTTTGCAGCTTTTGGCCATTTTAAGTTTTATTAAGTTCAGACCAAGGGGAGAATAAATAGTTGTTAAGTATTAAGTTTTATGTCATATCTATGGTGTTATTTAAATAGCTGATAAAAGGCGAGATGAGAAGGTTGATTTCCTCTGTAAAAACACGTAAAACTGCTATTTTATTAAAAAAAGAAAGTATTTTACAATGCTCATTTTAAAAATCTAAACTAATGTCCACTGTACCATTGAACTTTTGTTAATGGATCATTACCCAACTAACCAGACATTTAGAAGTGTGAAATAAATATAGAGTCCAAGGAACTTAACCTATGTTGTCCATCTCTGTGATTTTTAAAAAAATGCTCAGCCCCTTGAGTTGAAAGGGAGACAAGTTTGCATCTTCCTGTATTGATTTGTGTGGTTGAGGAAAGATCTATTGTGGGGAAAGGGCTTCACAAGTCACCCTTACTTGAAAGCATAGTGGCCAGCATTCCATATGTGAAGTTCAGAAGATAGGGAACAGGCCTGGAGATCCAACAGTTTTTGTTGGTAGCCTCTTCCAGTGCTTGATCACCTTCAGATCCTTCCTAAGCTCCAAACTAAATTTCCTCTTCTGCAGCTTGAGGGCATTGCTCCTAGTCCTGTCCTCCATGGTCAAAGAGAAAAGGCTACCGCTATCCGCTTTGTAATTGTCCTTCAGGTATTTGAAGACTGTTCTCAAATCCCCATTTCCTCAGTTTTCTCTTCTGCAGACTAAATAATCCTAGTCCTTCCAACCTTTCCTCATAAATCTTGCTTCTCAGACCCTTAAGTATTTTTTTTCATTCTGTGCTGTAGTCTTTTTAGTCTGTCCACATACTTCTTGAAGTGTGGGACTCAAACCTGGTGGACATAGTACTTCAGGATGTGTTATCATCAGTGGTGAACAGAGCGGAAGAATAATTTCCCTTGATTTGCAAGTGACACTTCTGTTAATACACCCCAGCATGCTGTTTGCTCTTTTTGCAACAAGAGTGCACCGTTGGCTCATATTAACTTATGGTTTTTTGTAACCCCAAGTCCTCCTGTGCGGTATTGAAGCCTAGCCAGTTGTTCCCCAGTCTGTATTTGTGCATGCGGCCCAAGTGCAGGACTTCGTATTTGTCATTGTTGAATCTTATCTAATGATTGTGAACTGTTTTTCCAGTCTGTCCAGGTCATTCTGGATGCTAGCCCTGCCATCCAGAGTGTCTTCAACTCTACCCAACATTGTGTTATCCACAAATTTGCTACACGTACACTCAGTGTCATCATCCAAATCATTAATGAAGGTGTTGAACAACAGTGGATTGAGGGACTCCATTGGACACCAATTATACATTGAGTCATCAAAGACTATTGGTTCAACCAGTTATATATCCCCCTTACAGTACTTTTGTCCAGCCTGTATTTCCTTAGCTTGTAAATGAGAATGTTATGGGATACAGTGTCAAAAAACTCTGCTAAAGACAAAGTATATCGCATCTACTGCTTTCTGCCCGTCCGTAGAGTCTGTCTCCTTATTGTAGATGGAAATCCGGTTGGTCAAACATGACTTGCTCTTGGTGAATCCATGCTGGCTGTTCCTGGTCACCTTGTTCTTCTCTAGGTGCTTCACAATAGATTTCTTGAGGGATCTTTCCAGATATTGAGGTCAGGTTGACTGGTCAGTAATTCTGTGGATCCTCCTTTTTCCCTTTCTTCAAGATGAGCACTATAATTTGCCATTTTCCTGTTATTTGGGACTTCACCCAAACTCCATGAATTCTCAAAAAGGATAGCCAGTGGCTCTGAAATGTACCTCAGCTGAATCTTTCAGTACTCTACGGTGCATCCTATCTGGCCCTGTCAACGTAAAATAGCTAGCTTCTCTGAGTAGTCCCTAATCTGTTCTTCTCCTATTCTGGCCTGTTTGTCTCCTTCCCTATCTTTGCTTCTAGCTACATTCGTCATCTGGTAGCTGCCCTTACTTGTAAAGACTGAAGTAAAAAAGGTGTTCAGCCTTCTCTGCATCATCCGTAGCCAGATTGCCACTTTCATTCCATAAGGGACCTGTGGCTTCTTTGGTCTTCCTTTTACTTTTGCCATACTTGGAGAATTTATTTTTATTGGCTATTATGTCCATTGCCAGCTGCATCTCAAAACTTGCCTTCATCTTCCTAGCATGCCCATGCAATACGCTGAACTCTTTCATAGTACTATTATTACATTTCCACTTTTTGTAGTTTTTTTAGTTTAGACTCATTGAAGAGATTGCTGGCTAGCCAGGCTGGCCTTCTTTTGCATTTCACATTCTTCTGTCTCATCAGGGTAACTTATTTCTGTACCCTTAAAAGGGCCTCCTTAAAGTACAGCCAGCTCTCCTGGACTCCATTTCCCCACAGACTTGCTTACCATAGGTATCCTGACCACAAGTTCAGTTTGTTGAAGTCAGTTCTTCTGAAGTCTAGTGTCTTTATTTTGCTGCTTTCCTTCCTTCCTTTCCTTAGGATCTTGAACTCTGTTATTTCATGGTCACTGTCACTGAAGTTAACTTCTGCCTTTTTGTTATAGTGGTGTTTCATTTTAATCATGGAAAAATGTGGATTTGGGGTTACTTTTTAACTAAAAGTTGGGGATTTTTTTAAATCAGAGAAAACCAGGTTCCCTGGTGATAAGCCTTTCTTCCTCCAGATTCTTGCAAATGGACTTCCTTAGGGTATGCTCCAGTAGCTTTCTGGGTATTGAGGTGAGGGTAGTTGGTCTGTAGTTTCCTATGTCCTCCTTTTTGCCTTTTTTAAAGAGCGGCACTACATTGGCCTTTTTCCAGTCCTTTTCCATGGTGCCTTGCCCATCTCCCATGACTTCATGAAGATCATTGCCAAGGTCTCTGACATCACCTGTGCCAGTTGCTTCAGGACCCTGGTATGAAGTTCCTTAGGCCCTGCTGATTTGAATTAATTCAGACCCATCAAAAGCTCTGACTGTCTCTTCAGTTACCTCATCCCTCAACTTGTCCCCTTCCTTATGCATATATTCTTTGTTAGCCATCTGGTTGTAGCTTACCATATTTATTTGAGTTCAGGATGACTTCAAATTTAAGATGACCCCCTGAATAATTAGATTCTATTAATGGAAAGTTATTAATGTGTTATAAATGTCCATGTATAGCATCTACTTAGAGGAAGTTAGTCTTCAATTCATTTCCACCCCCACACCCACACACCTGGCTTGGCTGCCTTCCTGCCATGTACCCCCCTCCCCCCCAACATGCCCCCCACTCCCTTGCCCCACCTGCAACCTGCCCCCCAAAGCCGGAGCTGGGCCCAAAGCCAAAGCTGAGCCACTGCTTTTCCTGGGCCGGTAATTGAATCCAAGACAAGTTTTTTTTTTCCCCCCAGTGCTGATTGGGATGGGGTATGGATGGATGGGCCTTAACTTGGAGTCGAGTACATTTAGTAATTTGTTTGTGAAGACTGAGGCAAAGTATCTGTTGAATAGTGTTTCAGCAAACTTATACAATCTCTTCTTGTTGTCTCTAACCTCCCATGTCAAGTGCAGCTAATGCCTTGCTGATGTTTGTCCCTGCAGGCTCTTGCTATTTCCTGGTATATTTCCTTGGTGACCTGGCCATTTTTCTATTGCCCGTCTGCTTTCTTTTTGTACTTGAGGCATCCTAGAAGTTCCTTGTGCTTCCATCAGATCGGGTCAATCTAATCTTCAGCCTGAAAAGGTTGTCAACCTATGTCTAAAATAATTCAAGTTGGTAATGCTGCATTTTCGTTTTGGATTATGTCAGAAACAGAAACTGGCCCATGGAAGGCAGCATAATTATTTTTGTAATTATCAGAGTGAGTATTTCAACTCGTGGTTCTTTATGGAGAATTAATATCTGATTTAGGTTAATAGCTTGAAGCAAAAGTGGGGGGGACTTTGAGTTGGTCATGTGATCTCTTGACTTATCTTGGGCCTTTGTGTTGATTACACTACTGTATATTTTATTGGTTTCTGAAGAAATTATCTTTTGATAAAAAAGGAAAAACAAAGGTGAGGGATGAAATTTGGGGAGACCTGGAGATCTTTCGCTTTTTGGTCTAATTCTTGCAAAATAGGTTTAAATACTAAAGTTTTGACTCCTAAAAGGTTTCCCTCTGAAGTTTGTTCTGGATAATACTCATAATGAAAAGGTGAAATAGGGTGACATACAGGATAAGGCTTAAGTCATCAAATATGTTCAGATTTATGCTACATCTTGTCTTTGAAAAGCTCTATTTTTCTTAGCAGTAAGCAACTTTGTAGAAATGCTGCTGCAGCAATATAGCATAATATGAGAATATGGCATTCTACCCGGCTTCAGCGTATATGGTGCTTTGTTTTTGGTTTGGGATATTTAAGGTATGTTATGGCGACAATCTGTTATTCATCTTAATTTCCACCTTTTCTTGACCCCAAATTCTGTTTAGGCCAAAGCGGATTATGAGAAAGAAGAGAGATGCAAAGAACTCAAGCGACTGCGTGGTGAGGACACATGGATGCTGGACGATGTGAATAAACGGGTGGAGGAACTGGAAAAGGTGATGGAGAAGTAAATGATTGAATTTTCCTGTTAGTTTTCCATTATTGCCAGGTAAACCAAAAAATTTGGAGCCTTTGAAAGTGATTTTAGAAAGGAATCTCTGAAGATTCTGTGCCTCAGAACTAACATTGGAAAAATCTAAACAGAAATATAATATGGAGTATTGGGCCAGATAAGCATTTCTTTAGCTCAGTTTGACTCTTAATTTCTCCCATATAAAAATAGTGGCTGAGACGTATGTTGTTTGTAGTATTCAGTAAGATATGCAACAGTGAAGATACATTTCTAATTTTCAAAGCTACCAACTAGAGCCTGACTATCCTGCAGCCAGCAGAAGTACACAGCCACTTTACAGTCCCTGTTATTCCTTCCTGTCATAGTCTTGGCCCACCAGAAACTTCCTATAGGAAGGGAAGTAAGATGGAATGTATCATCTCTGCAAGTATGCCCCAGACTGGGAAGTGCCAGATGTTAATGGTATTTCAAAATGGAGAAAAGCAGTATTTTTACTGTTGCTGGCATAGAGACAAGTATTGAGACCATAAGTACTTGTGCTGTCTCTCTGTTTCTGTAACACTTAAAGCATCTTGATCTTTGTGGACATAAATTTTATCAGCTGCTGAAGATCTGCAAACTTTGAGTGAAGCAAAAGAGGATGGGTAAGGAAATATTTGTTGACTTGTAAATGTACCTCGGCAGAAGGTTTCTTTCACTATAGCGAGAAGCTGTCCAGGGACCATCTGAATGTAGAAAGGGAACGGCTGGATGCAGGAAAAAATGTGCAGGAAAGGCTGCTGAAAACAACAAAGAATCAAATAGTTATGCTGGAGACACCCTGGGCCTGTATTTATGACCAGCTCCCCTCCCCTTGCAAATCACTTTGTGTCCTGAGCCCTGAAGAAAACACACGGTAATGGGGTGGGGGTGCGCAGAGGTCACTTTCAGTCCTCCAAAAGTAAGATCCTTCCCTTGGCATACCAGCTTTAAGACTGACCCCCATCCCCAATCAATTTTTGAGACCAGCCAGAACAGACACGTGTGGCACTTTAGACATGTCCTGTCTGGGCTTTAGTTTATATTTCTATTTTGACTTGATGGTGATTTTTATTATGGAAAAACCTGGCTATGAAATTTGAGGGACATCTACCGCTCCCCCTAAACATCGGTTCCCATTCAGATGTCTACACAAATCTTCTCTTGGTTACAAAATATAAATTCTCCATCTGCTGTCTCTGGCTTCAGAGCAGGAGGACTGTGCACCTTGACCCTGGGTTTTTCTGACCAAGTGGGAAGTATTTTTCTTGGCTGTTTGAATATCAGGGAATCTGTGGTCCTGCCTCAGCCTTGGGGAAAAAAAATTCTCTCTGCTCTTGCAGATGTCGTGCAAAACATGGCAAACACTTACTACATAGTGAGGTAGACATGGCTCACAAGGAGCCTGCACCTTTCTTTCATTCTCCTAAATATATGCTGCATCATTATCCTGCAGCTATTTACATACAGTTAATAAGAACTCCTTTCTGTTGTCTAGTTGTTCAGGAAAACTTACATCTTGGTTTCCAGGCAAGTGGCCTTTTGTCATTCCTGAAGTTCTGCTGCCATAGCATTGCTCTTCTTTTTCCTGCCATCAATACTTCTGGAACAGTCTATATATATTAATGATTGTGGCACTTAGCAGTATTCTCTTCATGCTTCCTGATAGTAATTTGAAAATGTTGCTGGTTTAAAAACATCAAGGAATTATGGGAAGCCAGAAGAAAAATCCTCAAAGTTGACTAGCTTGACCCCAAATCTCAGAATTTCTAGGAGGCTTTGCACAATGTAGCAGGAATCATAGAAAATGAGGGTTGGAAGGGACCTCTGGAGGTCATCTAGTCCAACCACCTGCTCAAAGCAGGACTGTCGTCTAGATCACCCCAGCCAAGGCTTTGTTTAGCTGGATCTTAAAAACCTCCAAGGACAGAGATTCCACCACCTCTCTGGGTAACCTGTTCCAGTGCTTTACTATTTTCCTAGTGGAAGAGTTAATATGTAACCTAAACTTCCATTCTGCAACTTGAGACCATTGCTCCTTGTTCTGTCATCTGCCACCACTGAGAACAGTCTAGCTCAGAGGTGGGCAAAATAGGCCCATAGGCCGGATCTGGCCTGTGGCAGATCCCTCGGTCCCACCTGGCCCAGGCACCATCCAGCCATGCTGCATCCTGCACGCAGTGGGGCTGAGGCTGCTCCACAGTTAGACTGCCTTTCTAGGCACCTCAGGCAGTGGTACCTCCATCCAGCTGCTGCTGCTGCTGGCCCAGCCCTGTGGTACTGGTGGGGACCCGTGTTGAACAGCCCTGATCCTGTGTGCTCCACACCTGCTCTGGGCTTGCCTGCCCAGGCTCAGCAGTGGCGGCGTGGGACAAAAGTTTGCTCAGTGCAGGAGAAAAGCAGCCCCTTCCCCTCTTACTGCTGGTCATTCAGGTTGCAGACACCCAGAGCCCACACCACACCAGACTGGGCTGCATCTCTGTCACCGTCACCGCTGTCTATGGGTTGCCCAGCAGTGGGCAGTGCAGAGCAGACGCAGGGCATCCCTGCATGGCGCGGGCTCTAGGAGGCCGCAGCAGGAACCACTGGTAGCCGGAGGGGTAAGGAGTTGCTTTCCCCCTGCACTGAGTAACAGGTTTTGTTCTGCGCTGCTGCTGCTGAGCCTGGGTGGACGAGTGTGGAGTGCACAGGGTCAGGGCCGTGCAGTGTGGGTCCCTGCTGGTACTGTGGGGATGGGGCCAGTGGTGGCAGTAGCCGGAAGGAGCTGCTGCTGCCCAAAAAGGCAGTTCAGCTGCAGAGCCGCCCCAACGCCGCTTTG